GGAACAGAATATATTTACATATTTACCATATATCATGTACCATTTTATTTAGATTTAGTATTATTTGCAAACATTGCTATCATCATTAATATATTTTAACGTATGCAAACATATACAAGCAATAACTGTCACCTTTTTATGCAAATCATTTATTGCTGTGTATAAATTTATTTAAAAAATAAATAAACAAATTCGTTTGAACACATTTTCATCGTTAATGCCTGTTGTAAATATGTGAGTAATCTAGTTATTAAGCGTTCCGAGAAGGAAGATGTTATGAAAGATCTGACGTCAAATTTTGCATATTGTCGATATCGAGGCTAAACGCAGTTGAAAAAGTTGTGAGAAAAATGCTCACGGCGCATGAAGATAATGTCTGCGATTATTTTGTTTCCCTTTAACCTTGTCTGGAAATCTTTTCAATCCTCCGCCGAAGGATTTGCGAAATCATAAATTTCTCCTTGCTATTCCATGCCCGAAGTTACAACAAAATGTGTGATCCGCCTGCTCCTCATTTGCTTTCATTCCTTTTCTCTTTGTTAAATCATTTTTAACAATTGTTATTAAGTTATTATCAAGTTATTAATATAAATTTGTATTGTAAATATTTATTATTGTAAAATTATAAATGTAAAAGTTTTTAGATCAAACTTACTTTGTCTTAATTACAGATTTCTCGAGATCCAATTTAGAACTAATTTAATTTTTTTAACAAAATCTGATGCAATATTATTAAATATTTATAATAATTTTGTAACATTTAAATATCTTTGTAAAAATAAATTTCAACTATATATATATTGTACGCATTTTATACGTACGAATATTATAAAACAAATAGCTGGATATTGCTTAATTTTCAAGATAAATTAATGTATTTAGTATAATAATGTTTAAGCATAAATTGCGCTAATTTAAAAGCAGCAGTTATTATAAATATGTAGATAAATATGCAAAAATCATTGCACGACATTTTATATCTATATATTTATTTTATTTTTTTATTCTTTTTTTTTCAATTATACAATATAAGAATATTCTGTCACGTATATTTAATTTCACTGTTTACAATTAGCAAACGAAAGAAGCATCTCCGTACAGACATTAATTACGGAACGGTTTAGACGATAGAACATACAAACATAGAATATCCGTTCCACGACAACGTCAAATGTCAAGCCGTATAAAATTATAATGATTTATATATATCTCGTAATGTTGCGTGATTACATCGCGTTTCACGCTTGCAACTTTACTCGATGCTCACCGTTTGCTTGTACATACTTACGCGCCATTCATCGAACGTTTATTGCGAGTATCACACAAAGATTATATTCTTTCGTAATAATTTACGATGGTAACCACTCATATTGCTGATGAAACTGCTTTTATTGAATGAAGAAGTCAGTCTCTTTTCTCTATTATAATTTTTATCGCTGCATTCTTTTAAGATTAATCTACCACAAGTACACCTTGTATTTAATAACCTAACACGAGTATTTTAGGAAGATTGCAAAATTCTATTTGCATAGAGAATGCTATTTTCTCTCTTCACCTCTGATATTCAATATCCCTTTTCGCGAATTCTAATTTGCACGAACAATATTGTCATTTTTTGTTCATATCCATTCAATATTTCAAAGTCTTGCAATATGCGTTTTTTTAACTGAAAAAAATGTAAAAAATATTTTTGCTACAAATTTTTCATTTGAAGTCGACTTTATTTTCGATATAACAATTTTCAACTTCGGAACAAGTCCTTGATTATATTAATTGTAATGATACATTTCAATCAGAAATATTATATTGCGTGTCACGCAAAAGTACTATAACAAAGATAAAGTTATTACATTTATAATTAGACCTACTACATTTCACAACGTATTTCAGAAAATTACATTCAGTTATAGTATCATTGCGAAAGAAGATGCTTTATTAAAAATACTTTATTTTAGCGAACACGTATGGCCTTCGGAGTCACCAAAGTTCACAAATACACCTCGTTTATTATCTTACTGCGCTTCCTCTTTTCTTTCGCCATTCTCGAGTTTCGCTTTTCCATGTCGCGTCTTTGTTTTAAATTTTACGTTTCGCAAGACGCGGTATTATATCAAAGTATAAGTGTTTAAATGTTTAATTAATACATTCTAACATTTAAGAAAACATTTGTGAATTTCGCAAATATGACTTTAGACTTTTAAGATTTCATAAATATTCTAAAATGTAAATATATATTTTTATCTCATTGAATTTTAATTTAATTTAAAAATTAATGATAAAAATATATATTTACATTTTAGAATATTTATGAAATCTGAAAGGTCTAAAAAATTAAATTAAATTAAAATTAAATTAAATATCGCATAAATTTATTTAATCGAAATGTTATTTTTATTAAATTTATATTATGATTTTTACAGAGAATAAAATATATATATATATATATATATATATATATAATATTTAATTAAATTAAAATTAAAACAACGATGTCTTTCATAAATCTTTTGAAATCAGCTTCGGAAAAAGTCCTCGATTAATTATAATGATAAAGAAAAATTTTATTAAATCAGAAATGTGTTAGAGATTACGCATCACGTAATTATCGTGAAATCTATACCTATATAATTGGATATTATTATTAAAGTAGTGTTAAAGTATTCTAGACATTTTTAATATTTTATATCTCTTGATATCTGATACTGATATCTCTAAATATATTGTTAGATAAATTACTTATATTAGCATGTTAACAATTATATTATTAGATAAATTACATATTATGCCTATATCTCTATTTAAATAGATATTTATACATTTTTAACAGCGCTAATATTAATTAATGGAGAAATACTTCAGATCTTAGATGTAGATTCAGATAGTATTAGCGGATACATCGACACCTCTCTATATCGGTACTTAAATCTGCAAATGCAACTTCGCATTTCGTTTCCTATCTGATGCTGCCCTCTGCTGCACATGTTGCAGGACGGATGCAGCACGTTGCAGAACAAGCAATATACGGGTTGCTAATCCGCAGGCGCGTTTCCGGCATATATACCGTTTCGTCTTCTCCCGCTCGCATTCCTCGCATTCATGCTGGAGCCGCTAGTTCCTCCTCTCTCTTTCCACACGCCCTTCGCACCCCGCGGACCTCCCCGCAGGTCACCGTATTCAAGTTCCACAGTACTTGCGTCGTAGCAGCCGTTTTCACAGCGACCCCACTAGTCCCCGGTCCCCGTAACCGGTAGTCTGTCTGCTACTCTGATGTGGCAACAGTTGTTCCTCGTTGCGCTCACCGTTTGCTTACTCTGCTTCCATCCATTGATTTTTTATCTTTCCGTGTTTCCTCATTCGCTTTTCGTGAGTGCTCTCCTATTCTTTTCCATTCTCGCGGGACTCATCCGAACACCCGCGTACAACTGATAAAAGCGACAGTGTCAGGGTCAGTGCTAGTGGGGCATCGCGGCGGCGTGCTACGTCAGAGAGTTTAGTGCGGCTCCGCACGGGTGAAAGGATTGTCCTCGTCTCATTCCCGTCCGACGACTGTTGTCAGTCAACCGTCGACGAACATGTCTCTCATTGTCGACTGCTTTCGTCATCTGACATACGGATCGCACTACAAAAGCGAGGTATGTGACACGTGCACATGCTTATCTCGTGTGACAAATATCACCAGTTTGCTCCGTGATATCGGTGCTCGTATATCGGAGTAAATTTCGTGTTTTGATTGCGTTTTTCAAGAGCAATCGCAGAATTATTTTTCTAAATATGCAAACTATTTTCTGCAGTTAATTATATTTTGTTAAACGCTTATTTTTTAATTAAATTATACCTCTCTGACATTAAATTGAATGACTGGTTTCTCTCTTATGATTACATGGGAAGACATGAAAGTGTAAAGGTAGATAGATTTTATACTTTTTGCAAGGCATTGCAAATTATATTGAAAAATAGTGTAATATATTATTATTTACATATTATATATTATTATTAACATGTTATTTAATATTACAATGTATTATGTAAAAAAATTGAATCATTATTTGGTAGCAATTTTTAAATGTTTCATACAGTAAAACTTATTATTTACTATTATCTATATTTATTCTTTATTCGCGTAAATGTGTAAAGCTAGTAATGAATATTTTCGCGCGACGACGTTAATATTAATTAATGTCTCACGATTTGTATGCAATTCGTAATTTCGTCGTTATACAGTATATGATTACATTTAGAGAGAAATGTTGAGTTTCATATCAGCGGCATTATTATTCATGACATTTGCATTTTGACGTGATGTGTCAAGTAGCCCCGGCTGGTCGCCATTGAATATAAAATATGGGTCACTCGAAGAAATTGTGCACGCGCATTCTGAAATCTGATGGTGGCCTTGAACGTGATGCTGAGTGCCATTACGCGGTTACTTTGTTCGGAATAACCCATTATTGCGCGATATTATTTAACATGATTTGTATCGTCAATAAAGTTTAAATATCATGCTGCTATAATAATCTTAATTAAGATTACTTTAATTTAGAAAATTTATCACTGCTTTACTTAATTATCATTTTACGCATTTCCCGAATATTTTATCTGTGCAAAGATTTAATCAATTACATGTAATTGTACGTGATGTAAAATTCGTATAATCACTTTTCAGGCTACAATGTTTATAGGAAAGAAAATGTTACGAGCCAAATTCTATTCTGATATTATAGTCGGAAAGTAACTATTGAACAAAAAAAAACTTGAGTAACTATTGACTTTTAAATCCTGAAGTTTTTTTTTTGAAAAACATCATATTCAATATTCCCTTTTCTCAATTTAATGTTTTAAATCAGCTGGTGTATGTTTTAAGTATCCAATTAGACACTTACAATATAAAAAATTGCCATAAGTAATATGATTTTACATTGCGTAACTATGTGTAATTAATGTTCCACATGTTCCTTGAATTCAGAAAACTGAATAAGATATAAAACATCTTTACTGTAAGAAAGTTATTATATTAAATAATAATATACATCAACATTTATATTATAACAAGTGTACTGTGCCATGAAAAATAAAGAAAAAGATATTTGATGAAAGTGTGTTATGTTGTACTCATTTTCTTTTATTTTCACGAATATTAATTTATATTTTCATATTATTTTATACATTTATCAAATATTTTATTCAGGAAGGATTTTATTAATTACACATAGTTGTACGTAATATAAAATATGAAAGAGCACTTTTTGGTTATCAATATTTTTATGAAAATATTACGAGCAAAATTCTATTCTGACATAGCAAAAATAACTATAATTGACTATTCGTCTTAAACATTTTTTTCAAAAATATTAAATTCAGTATTTCTTTTTTTTCAATTTAATTTTTAAATTAACTAATATGTTTGCAAACTTATTTCAGTTAAAAGGCTACAAAGTGACGGATGTGAATCGTACGAGAAAAATCGGCATTGCCTGTCGAAATTTCCAGGACTTGAAACAGAAAGCGTGTTCGAAGCTAAATGTAAGTATATATTAAAGCAAAACAGACATTAATTCTACATTGATTGTGTCAATCTGTTTTGGATAACACGTTCACTTGTTATATGTACGCATCACGTCTTGACAGACGTATTATGAACGACTATATGAATAATGCAACGAATTTTCATGGAATATAACTGCGTAAGGAAGTTTACCATGTAAATGCCGGGCATCCACATTCATCGAGTATTTTGTGACTGAGTACATTGTTTTGAGCTGGATGTACATATTTTTGAATATTGTGATAATCATCAGAGGAAAATAATACGAGTTTTCACATTAATTAACATAATACAAGCAAAATAAATGTATGTAATATAGATGCAAATATAATCTCGCAAATACCATCTCGACGAAAATATAAATTTTTCGAGAATTACAATTCAAATATTTCTTGCTTCTTTTTTCTTCAACTTGAAATACTCGCGTTATTTATAAATAGAACCGCAATAATATCACAATGGAGAATAAAAGCAGTAGCACCCGATGAGGATGCATTGAGCGAGTCATCGCTGCTCGACTTTTGCTCATTCAATGCGTTGCAGAATGCGGAATTTGTCCTTGCAATCGAAAGTAAGAATAGCGCTCGGTGCATGTGCACTGTACGATTCACTGCTGTCTAGATTTGTTCAATTTCCACAAATCAGTGCTTCTATTCTTTCCCACCATTACATAGAATAATCACTTAAATCGTGCTGAAATAATGCTTTCGTTACGCTTTTCCACGCTTACTTGACTGTCTCTATAGTGATTTTTGACCAGTGTCATTACGTAAGGTAATGTGTGTGGCAATTTCCAGACTAAGTTGCATTCGGAATAGACACGTGTTGTAAGTTTTGCTTAAGATAAACTTTTGAAGATGGAAAGTCATTTATTAAACATGTAAAGAGACTTGCATCGAGTGACGAGGATATTTTGCAATTATGCAGAAATTATGCAATCTTACTAACAGATTCTTCAAATATCTCTCTTTGAAACACAAGGCTAGTATTAAAAAAATGAAATATTTATTAAATACAGTGTTTTATTCGCGTAATATTTTCATTATTTTTATGTGATAATTGACATTTAAAAAAATGTCAATTATCACATAAAAATAGTGACTGAGAAATAATCACGAAATAATTTTTAAAAAATGTCAATTAAAAAAAAGTGTCAATTAAGAAAAAAATATTTTTCTTTCATTATTTCTCATAATAAAATTTTCTATAATTAGACACAATTTACAGTATTTTTATTCTTTGTAAGAAAAAGATACGATTATACACGTCAATTACTTCAACAGTGAAATATTGTTAATATCTAACATACATCGAATTTTACTTTACTATTTTTTTTTTTTGAGATCTTGGTGAAAATGAGATAAAAACCGATAAAAGTTTCATCGGAGGATGACGGAAATACCGATAAAGAGAAGTACGTGCAAATGTATTTTAGATCACGGTCGTATCGATACCGCAGTCATTTTTTAACAGTTGCCTTTGATGTAAAAAAGGCTGGAAGCTTTTCACTACCACGTAGGCGGTAGCATTTCGAGGGTAGATAGGTTAATCCGGTTGCAGTGCGTCCTTGAAATCCGTATCCGCCCGCAACCGCTGGCTTTATCGAACCAGCCGGGCCAGGGACAGCGAGTAATCTCAATGTCAGGGTCGCGAATCCGCTTTCCGCGTTGCCTTAAAAGTGGACCCGAATATTGCGCTTCGGTGTGCTAATGCTAACGCAGATTGCAAGAGTGCTCGCATATTGAAATTATATTTGAATAAGCCATTTCAAAAAAAAAAAGATAAACTCGAAGTCAGCTCTGAATAATAGATTTAAATAAGTTTACGAATTGTTGACACATCAACATTGCGATTGCGAATTGCTTCGATAATATAAATGCTGTATAAAAATTAATAATTTGTTCCTAAAAATAATTCCATAATTTGTGAGAAGTTATCAGATGAATAAATTAAGATAAGATGAACAAATTGCTTCCTTTTTGATTATTTATGAGGATTTAAACTTTTAATAACTCTGCTAATGAAGAAAAATTGAATGGACTCGTAAGACGGACGCGCCGCGAATCGTAGCTTCGACCTTCATTATTGCGGATTTGCTGAGAGAAATGTGAAAACGATGCCGTCATACCAAGGAAAGTGACGCAAAAGTTAGTAATCCTTGTATTCGGCCTTCGGAGAATTATTTATGGCAAGCTAATGAGGATACATTACATTAGCCTTGATGTCTGTCCAGGATATCGAGTACTCCCCTGCTTCGTTATCAATCATTTATTCAAAATTCAGACGTTAATTAATTTGTGAGATAATTAACTCACTTTAACACAAATGTGTCGGATATGTTTTTTCATTTGATAAAAATTCATCAGACAGGATCAATGATATACAGCTTTGTGTTTTTGCAGGTGACTCATGATCCGACGGAAGTGAATGTCTTTCTTCTGGATGGATCATTGATTGATGAAGAGTACTTTCGTACATTAGAGCCGCAGACTACTTTAATTTTGCAAAAGCCAGGAGAGAAAGTATTATCCGGTTGGTATGACGACAAAAAATAAGCGTAAAACTTATGCCAAAAAAACATATCAGTATATTTGATAACGAGAGCAAATATTTTATTACAATAATATAACAATAAATCACCAATAAAAGAGAGAAAGGTGATATCATTTGTACAGAAATTGATGCAGTATAGCTTTAATATCCGTTCAGTATATCAAGTACTCTCCAGTTTCGTTATTTCGTTATCGATTATTTATTCGAGATAGACATTAATTAATTCGTGAGATAATTAACTAATTTCAATACAAATATGTCCAATGTCTTTTTTCACGCAAGAAGAATTAATCAGACAGAATATTCTATTTCGACTTTTTGAAATTATATTAATTGTTTTGGTTTCAATTAATAGCACAGCTATTATGCACGAAAGAATTAGATATGTAATTGAGGATCTGATTACAATAATAGCGTTAAAAGACTAACGAAGGACTTCCTCGCATCCGGCAGAATCCGTGAACTTTGAAATTCTGGTCAGTGAATCTCTGCTTTGCTACTTCTTTTATAGACGACAGGAAACCTCAACAAAAGGTCATTGCATAAAATAATTTTGCCTTTTATTTTTTCTGAGCCGTGAGTGTTTTTTTTTATACACGTAGTAATATTATAAGTTATCGAAAATATTTTCAGTTAGTCCTTCAATTTTTAGTTGACGAATATATTCGTAGCTGTATAAAACTACTGCTGCTTTCCATTTCTCTATATTTTGCTAATGTTTTGCGCATTTATCATTTGTTATCGCCATAATTTAAGAGTACTAGCGAAATACATTGCCCTACAAATTCAGCGTAAGTTTATCGCGATACAATAACGAATGCACTGCGAGGTTGGCCGGGCGCCAAAGTTAAGCCCTCGAAGTTTGTGAACTTCTTGGCAACGCAAAGTGCGCCTCGGGGAAAGTAGATCGCACTTTTTCACATTGACACGCGCGATGGCGCCGCGCAATTTCCTTTTTTTTTCTCAAGGACGAATGATTTTCCGTAGACGCGGACATTCTCTACGATGCACTGAGACGCGTAAACATCGATTTCCTCATCACCGGCGGCAGGGTGGCGCAATTCCTGACGGAAAATCTTAAAGTAAAGGTCGCCCTGTTGAACAGAACGTTAAATAAAGATGACTCTAAGACGGCGCTTAGTACGAAAGACGAACATCCAGAGTGGTTTGAAGATTTGGAAACCAATTACGCAACCAAGGTGAGTTCTTTCTTATAGAGCTTGTAATCAATTTTTTGTGGTAAAAATGTCGAAGAACATTATCAATTACTAGAATTTCCAAAGTTTTAACGTTTGTAATTAAAATAAATTTGGTTAAAATTTTATTAATCTATTTTCAGCATCTTTTACTTTTTATTTGAATCTCTAAAACTTAATTGACAAACGTAGCTTTATTTTTTATGATTCTAAATTTCACAAAATGTTACTCTGTTTTTTGTGAATAAATTAATCCTTTGATGTCAGCAATTTTAAATTTTGAATGTCGTTATATATGCATATTATTTAGCGTAATTAATATTTTTAAATTTGCAAATATTTAACTCTTTTTTAATCTCTGAAATTGAAGCTCTTAAATCCTTTATTTCTCTCACAGGAAGCATATATGCATCGCAGATGTCAGGACAGAATACGCACGTACTTCTACAAAACAATCGAACAAATCAAGAACTCGGACGTATACATAAATGATAGCAAGGCGAGGGAGCAGCTGCTACACGTGATAGCGTTTTTCAAAATTCAACTCAAGCAGGATCACTATTTCGGGTATTATTTTGACCGAAGCAGAGCGGAGACTGATTGTAAGGATGACAGTGATGAGACCGATTGTAGCCGATGTTACGAGCATTGTCCCTGTCATCTTGGCCGCGACGAAACGTACCAGCAATATCTCCGTCTTTTTCAATCGTCGGATGCAAATACGACCGTCGATGCAGATAACAGCGACGAGACGGACGCGAAAAAGTTCACCGAATCTAAGAAAAACGCAAAAACGGCGAGCAATCACGAGGAATCGAAAAGCTTTCCTTATCGCGTGATATCGCAGAAGAAGCAGTTCGCCATTTGCGATAAAATGGGTGAGTTTAGGTGCGAGGGTCGGTGGAACGCGGATGGCTGTGCTTACGGCGACAAACATAGAATCAATCCGTATAGATCCAAAGAGGAGCTCGCCTTATTTTCCACATGGAATTTGGATCACAAGTAAGATAACGATTGTAATATATTGGTAACCGATTCAAATCGCATTATAACATGTTTAACCTTCAAAATATATTTAAAACAAAATATATTTACTGTTTTCAGAATTGAAAGGTCTAGAACGCTCGTTCCGAGGTTACTGCAGATCTCGCGACAGGATACGATCAATGAACAGGACATATATGACTGTTACGACAATCTATTTACCGTGAAAAATTTAAGGCTAGTCCATATTGTGTGCCACGATAAAGGATCGCACAAATAAGCCCCAATTCTGGGACTTTTAGGTCGATGAATATGTTACGCTTATCTTAAAATGTATAGTGACTGTATATGTGACTGTATATATGTTAATGTGAAAGCCAAAGAGTAATTGTACAACATTTTCACAAGAGCTTCCGTAGATTCTCAATTCTTTTTATTTGTACACTGAAAGATGATATGTGCGTAATACGTGTAGACGGTCTTTTACTAGAAAGCTCTACAAATAAGTATGTTTAATATGCTTAAGGACTGTCGATAGAATATAGATCTAGCGATTGTTAGTGTTTCACTATCGTGTGTATTCTGATTGCGGCACGAAATACTAAGCAATAATGTTAACAATAAAATGTCCGTTAAAGTTTAAAAACATGGATTTAAAGAAGAACATAAATGCATATTTCATTCAATAAGTACATTTGAATTCTCTTCTTTAAAATCATATTTCTATATCTTTTAGCAAAATTGATGTTTATTAAATAATATATTGCGTATCATATATCTAAATGTATCATTTTTCACTTGTATGAACAAAAAGAATTAAAAATCTGCGGAAGATGTTGTAAAAACGTCGCAGTGCGTTGCGTCAAATGATTAATTATTTATATCTTAATTGTACGATTCTGACTGAATGATATTACTTATGTTAGTAATATGCCTCCAAAAATTATTTCGTTAATTGTATTGTTCTCATATGTTTCTTCTTGTTAATAAGATTGTTTAATGACTATCTTATTGAAAGAGACTATTGGCATAAATCAATTACGACTACAGGGTTGCATAAGTCACGCGCAATTTATTTCGGTGACCAAAAATTGCCGAAACAAACTATTAGATATCTCAAAAATGTCATTAACAATAAGTACATATTTGATGTCATTAAATATATATTCGATGCTTCTATAGATAAAATCTATTACAAGGAGAAACTAAGCTGATCTGATTTAAAACAGCGTTATCGCTCCTTTTCGTGCTTCAAGTGTGAAGTAGAATATCTTTCAGACACATTTTTATTCTGACTGCGCTCTCGATAAGAGACAAAACAAAAGTTCTGATATATATACAAAAATACACACACATATATATATAGTATATATAATTTAAAGTAAAGTGTGTATATATACAATATTGTTCCTAAATAGGCATACAGGGCATTTTAAATTGTTGATTTGTTAATTAATATATTAATTATATAATTGATTTATGCAAATGGTTGCAGTATTTCATATAACAATATTTGAGTAAACGAAGAATCACATTACTGATACGTTCGATTTTCACGAGTTGTGCCAAAGTAATGTAGAATAAAAATATCAAACATGGAATACACGTTGCTAATAATAGATAAAGAATACAAAAATATTTTATAAACAGAAATTGGCAACACGATTGAACTGTTGGACATTTTAAGGCATACATGAAAGGCGTATCAAAGTCGTTAGTATTAAACATTCCGATGGTTCTTTTCATTAAGTTGTGTTCTTTTAAGAAATTATATTTTTATATTTTTTGATTCATTTATCTTGGGCAGATTTTTAATGTCTATTTTTAATTTTTATATATTATTTAAGTATTTATAATATTTTACATTATAAGAATATAATATTCTGAATAATCAAGATTATATATATGTTTTCTATATAATTTTGTAATAAATTCGGGGTTTTTTAAGCATAAATTGATTTTTTTTTCATTATATATATATTTTTATATACAATTTCATATTAGTAAAATATTTGTTAATTTAATAATTATTTATATATAAGCGAATAATGATTTGAAACAAATGTTCAGCAAGTTAAAAAACAAATGTTTTATAAAGTAAAATTTAAATGGTATCACATGTTTGGTACTTTGTCTCTTTCATAGTTTTCATCGCTTTTATTGATGAAGCATTCACTTCATCAATCAATTTAAACTGCCTGTTGTTTTCAATAAATTTCAAATTGAATGGGCCCATGCAGTTGAGCAAAGCTTTTGTTATTGCACAACGTGCATATCGATGAGAGTTAGTGTTATTTGTGAAACAATAATAACTGTTATTAAAATTAGTGTTACATAAAACTTAACGTATATAATTAATGTTATTAAAAGTCAATGGCACGAGTGTGTAAACAAAAAAGTTAATTTCCTTAAAAAAAAATAACTTTATAAATGAGTTTCTTTGAAGCAGAAATATTTTACAAAAAAATAGAAAGATCGTTGACTTTGTACGAGCTATATATAATGACTGATATAACTATAATAATTTTCTTTATTGTATTGTTAATTGTGTATTATAAATGCATACTAAATGTTAGTTGAAAACTATTTGGCAAGTGTATCGAGGTTTATTTGGAATTCATTCAAGTAAAGCCGCTTTGTTTAACTAGGAATAAGAAATAATTCTTTGCCATTTCTCATTATTAATTGGAAATCTTCGCACTTTTGAAATAAACAAAAAAGATTATTCTAATATTAAATGTTAAAAATATATTTTGATGCGTTTAAAGAATGTATCGTAACACAATATGTCGTTACATACATCGTTTGTTATTCTATTCATGTATAATTTTCTAATCCTTGTTGAAAAATGATAACATGGCTTCGGCCTTTATCGTGATATAAAAACAAATTTATTTTTGAAAAAAAAAAATTTTCAATATCGTTATACTGACATATATCAAGATAATGAAAAATTATACAGAAATACAATATCTCAGTATAAATTATATGTAAGGATAGTATTTTTTCCAATGTACGACAACTGGGTAGCTCCACTTTAGAAAAATATATTTTAGGTACAAGACACAAAACAGTTTTATTATTCCTTTATATCCTATTCTAAACTTTTTCGAAATTTTAGATGGTTAAGCAGTTCGGATAGTTCGGATTTTGAGATCAAATATCAAATAAATTGTTTCTAAGCTTCTAGTTATTGGCAAGAATGGTGCGTTAGATATTTATGGGTCGCCACCATTTTTCGTTTGAAACCGAGTACCTATTATTACCTACAATTCGCATGGCATATTTAAGCGGAATAGATAGCAGCGAGAATCGATCCGTATTGTTATTATAATACCTCAAATTACGATTGTGCGATTTTATAATGTTTTTTACCAAGAACATTTGTTATACACAATAACAAAAATACAGAAATTTTACGGAGAATCATCTCACGGAACATTACGCACAAAATATGTGTGATTTCCAAGCCGTTTTGTGCCGAAAGTTATAAAGCCATAAAAAGTTTATGGCTTTATCGAATGTTATTGCTAGGCGATATCAGAGTACAGAAATTTGCACATTATTTTTATTGAAAAAAACATGCTGTTAAAATCACAATGGACAAAACGATTACAAAGTAACTCGAAATTTATGACTGTTAATTATATTATTGAAAAATTAAACGACAAACACTTTTCGATAGTGGGAGTGATATTGTTCGTTTTTTCTTGATCAAAGTAACACATTTTGTATCATTCTGATTTGACGAGATTTCTAGTTTATGTTGTAAATTTTATTACATACATTTATCATGTATATTGTGTATGAAATTGTAATTATTTTATTCTTACATAAAATTATATAAAGCATAAATTGGCAAAGAATAAATTCATCAAAATAAAAAATAATATATTAATTAAATTAATGCCAGCATAATTTAAAACACTTTAAAAATGAGCAAGAATAAGAATTCTAAACAATCATCATTATATAGCCTGTAATATGTTATATGAGAATATTTATTATATATTGATTATCTTAATAATAAAAAAGATAAATTGAACTGAAGCGTTAAGTGACCGTGATCTGACTCACCGTTAAAGCAGCAGCAGAGTTGTCATCTTGTTGATCTACGAAGTTCATCTGCAAAGTTGATCTATAAAATACAATAATAAATTCAGATTAGAGAGCTGTGTTACAAATGATTAATATTTATAAAATAATTACTACAAATAATACGTATATTAAACTTTATATTCATTTCTCCATGCGTATATTATCCAAAAAATTATAATTAAAAAAAAATATTTAGATATTTAAAAAACAATACTATGTATACATACAAAATTTCTAATAATTATAAATATTAAATATTTTAAATACTTTATTAAAAGCCTTACTAAATCTTTTAAATATCTTATGTTTAACGACATTAAATTTAACGTCATTTAATTAATCAATAATTACTTATAGAAAGTTATGTTACTAATTACAATTTTGATTTAAAAAATATGCAGTTAGAAAATGAACGTGCAGAGAATCACACAAAAAAGAAACATTCACCAAACGAGCCAGCGTGGAAACATTGCGCATTTTCGACAAGTTTTAAAATATTAATATTTACTATGATATTTTACCTATTATAAAATAATACGTTTCTTGCGTTTTGAATTTGAATTTCCATAAATAAATTAATATCACACAACTTGTGCGTCTTCATTTTATAAACTTGTTAACGTTGTCTGAGATAAGAATTATTTTCGCGAAATTTTAATGAATTGAAATTAATTACTCTCTTAAATAACGCTAATAAAGCTGAAGATTTTGAGGATATAAAACAATAAAAAATATGATAGTAATTTATTTGTCAAAATTAAAATTATTTTGCAATGAATTTTCTAACGTGAAAAATATTTCGTGTTGTGTTCATTGTGGAGAGAGTAAGGCTTACCGTAGCGTTTGGGGATTGTTTACATCACGCTGTGTATGCATTCCATTTCTACACTATCTCTTTCTATTCATCATATGTTATCCTGTACTTCGCGTTACTCATGTATCTCTTCTGCGCATGTTATCTTCTAAGTCTGCGCAAGTCCTTTAAACAGTGATGCCAATTCGAGCTCGCTGGTACCATGGGTACCGTAGTGGAGGGGATACCCACCGTGTGCTCGCCGAGCCACACGGACATGTGACGTCAGCGATTTCGCTTGTGTGAGTATCCCCTCCATTACGGTACCCATGGTACCAGCGAGCTCGAATTGGCATCACTGTCTTTAAATATCGTGCGGTATCTTGCCCCTTAACTTAACAGTCGCACGGCGGCACTCGTACGAGTTCACACATCGAGTAATCCCTCCCCCCACTACCCTTACTACTTTCCCTTACAGTTTTCCGCCTTCCTCCCCCTTTTCTATCATTACCTGTTGCGTACATACTGTTCTGCGTAGAGTGCCGAACGCGTATTCCGTGCGACAAGCGATATTCGAGTTATACCTTTTTCCTCATACGATAAAATCGCGTCGGGAGTGTGTAAAATACCGTGTGATCGTCGTAATAAAATGCGTCATAATAAAAATCGGGAGTGCGTTATGCCGGCAATGGCGGATAGTTTCGCGCGAGTACGAAACGTCGTATTTCAGCGAATCTATAGATGAACGCATTTTTGCTGTATGACAAATATTGGGACACGATTTTTTTTGACTTTAGGCTTGGCTCGGGGGAGGGAAAGGTCGGTTTCAATCATAAAATCTCCACTACGGCAGGGCAATCTTCGGTTCTACGTGCAGCGCGCTAGTTGTACAGATAGCCGGACTCTCAAAGGTAGTCGAGGACGGCTACCGGAGTTAGTCAAACGCTACCGATTGCTTTTCAGATGTCTTGTATCTAGTCGGTTGATTGGATGACTAATCACCTCATCTTCTTCGAGCTTATCTTTGCCTTCTGTTTTGAGAGAATCGTGCCCCAATTGGTAAATGTGGTCGTCTGAAACGCGGACGGAATTCGCGCGTAACGTCGCAGCTTGGACAGTTCGGTTCGATTCGCCTGCGATGTCGGGAATGTCGTTTTAAGTATCGCGCGATTTTCGTATTCAGGTACGCATGCGAGCAATGCATGCGCCGCGAACGCGTGTGATTCAGTGTAAGTGCTTCGAAGGACCACTGAGAGGAGGAGGAGGCTCAGGAGGAGTATCGGGCGCCGGCGGAGCAACTTTACGGTAAGCAATAATTCATTTATTTGTTGAAAATATTGTACATTAAAATATTTGAAAGACAAAATATTTACATTAGTTAATATTTATCATTATTAAAATTTATTTGCATATTTTTTATTAAATAATTAAACTTTTTTAATAATTCTTTTATTACATATTTGCTTAGAGAACGAATTAAAAGTTCAATGTACTCAATATTTTTATGATTTCACAAATATTTCATATTGTGAACGCTGCTATAATTTTGATTTATTTCGTGTTTTACAGATCAACTATGCAGATCAACAGAACGACAACTCCGCTGCTGCGCATCGATCGGTGAGTTAGTTTAATTGTCTTTTATTATTAAGATAATGAATCAAATAATGGTGTAAAAATATATAAACGCGAGACACTTTGCAGGTCGTATAATTTTTATTGCTTTATAGTAGTTATATCAAAATTTTATTCTCTCGTATTTTTTAAAAGTATTTTGAGTTGTACGTGCATTTGTTTTTAAAAGAACGAAGTACTTATTTTTTTAGTTAATTTATATTAAATTTAATTATGTGTTACTAATACATTAAAAAAAAGCAAAGTGTTTCTAATTTTGATTTTGATTGAGCCCGAAGTTGAAGCAACTTTCATCAGCCTAATAGCCCTTTGAATCCATATATATTAAATATTAATCATATAATATTAAAAATATAATCATACACCAGAATACTTTGAATAAAATTATAAAAGGTACACTATTTCTTCGATTCATTATCTTAAAAATGGATAGGCTAGGACTTAGATGCGTTGATGAATATTTAATCCTGGAATATTTCCTAAATGTATTTCATGATTGACAGATCAGAACAAAATATATTGAATTATTCAGAGAGTTTGTAGAATTTTTTGATGACAGAATTGAAAACAATTTTTATATGTTTATATATCTTTATTTAATAATGTATGCACAAGTTGTTAAAGATGGCCAAAAGTTGTCGAAAACAATGGTGCATATATTACTGAACAAAGATGACTCTAAACATATAAAAATTGTTTTCAATTTTATTATAAAAATTATTACAAATTTTTTAAATAACCTAATATATTTTTATTCTAAATAATGTACTTATGTTTATATATTTATTTATTTTTTTTAGAGAAAAAAAATAGAAGAAAAAAATATTTAAAAAAAAGATTATACATAAAATAAAAGATAAAACTTGTTAATACATGGAAAAAAAGTATTTGCTGCCGCAGTAAATTTTATATAAGCTATCATAGCAAAATTTCTTACAGTTGATTATTATTTGAACAGCAAAGAGATTTGTTATAGATAATAATTTTATTTACCGAAATTAATTTTGTTAAATCTGCAAATTATATTGCTAATATATAATAAGAAATTTATTTTTATCTTACTATCAAAATTTGTATTAATGGCGACAATTTCATTGCAATAGTAAAATAAATTTATTAAAAATAAATTATTTTGTTGTAACAGCAAAGTTTAACTTGTTTTCTCATCTCAAAAATTTGTCGATTTTTTGAACAAAACAGATTTGTTGCATATCGAATAATCTGTAAAAGTAGTTACAGTAGCAAAATTTTATCGCTAACATATTTAACATGCAATAGCAACATTTTATTGCGATAGCAAAATTCCTTTTCTGTGTGTAAATGTGTACTTTCATTTCTTCCTTTCCTACGGTAAGTGATTTATTTTTTTATATCTTTCCAGGATTAAATATTATAAATTGTCGTTGAAGAGCAAAAGAAAATTTTTAAATACATATGTACCACAAATGTATCACAAATTTAAATTAAAAATGAAAAAGAAAATTCTTTTACACAAACGTAAATATATTAATGAATTATGGTATATTTGAAATAATTTATCTAATAAAAAAAGAGTGCATTTTTTATTGACAATTTATTTACAATTTTGAAATATATATTTATATTCTTGCTATACGTCAATTTCTTCGCAATCTTTCCTAGTCTATCCATGCATCCGTGGTCCTATGGCTTAACACTAGATTTATCAAAGCGGTCAAAAAAAATGACCGGTTTATTCATTTTAGAATAATTATTTAAATTTATAATGTATTTTTTGAGATTTTTTTCTGTGACTTGTATTGCATTGTGTTAAATAATTAAATTGATTAATGTACTTTTTCTCTTTATCACCTTTTAAAAAGAAAGAAAAAAGAAATAAAAAATGGTATATGTTAATCGTCGGTAGTTCTAGTGTTGATCCCATGGTTGAGCGCGGAAATTCGAAATTCGTGGTCCCGTCGATGATGGTCGAGCACAGATCTCGAAACAACGTTGATACGATCGATCATTGAATAATGATCGACTATCAACAAAAATTTCGGACGCAACTAGCGGAAACTGAGCCGAGCTCTGCGCTAGCGTCCTGCGAAGAAACATCGAGACAGTCGCTCTCGGATTTTCGATGCAAATAGCGGTAACTGAGCTGAGCTCTGCGCTAAGCATCACTCGAAAAACGCCGAAGTCGGAATTCTCTCAAGTGAGAGATGTCATTTGCGTAACCCAAAAATGCGTATAACGTGAAATTAAATTGATACTTGTAAATTAAATCGTTAATTGTTAAACCGTTATTTCTATCCGCGTTTCTCGGTTTATTTGATTTAGATGAGTTTTCAGATATTTAGATCTTTTATTAGATAGGATTTTCTATTAGATAGAATTGTTTTATTAGGCAGAATTTTTTGTTAGGTAAGATTAAACAATTTTATACAAATTTTATATTCTTTTTATTTCTTTGCATTGATAAATTTTGAAACTTCTGCTTTGACAGTGAGTAATTATAATTTGTCGGTGACAAAGATAATGACAAAACTTTGGGTGGGCAAACAGCAAGATTTTCTTTCGAAAAACGAAAAAAATTCTTGCGCAAATAAAGCATTATATTAGAAGCCGTTTAGATGTTTAAATGTATAGAG